TTTTGATTGTTCTGTTGTATGTTGCTTACAAGAATGATGTATTTTGTATGCTGCGTTTCATTTAAAATATGATAGGCAATTTCGGAAACCACAGATGCAATTTACGAAACTTGGTTTCCTTCATCTGCATTTTTATTGCATGCCACTAGTATGCTTATATTTCACAATCTTCGTTCGAGTTTGCGCTATTTCTTTTCACTCACTGTCATATATAAATTTACTATCTAATATAGAGTCGTTTTACTATTGAAAACTATATAACTTGAAATTGCATAATAAATTGGGCGCTCTTAGTGTGAACGTATCTCTACGTCAGTCACTTTTTTCTGGAATAATTTATTCAAATTCTGTTTACGTAACAGTAGTATAACTTTTACATGAATGAAATTTTGACAGGTTACTGTAGAAGTTGAGACTGGAATGTTGAAACACGTACGTCCAAACCCTTTTGTACGAGTTGCGTACATTACAATTTAGAACAAAATCATAGAATCGTACAAGTCTTAGGATCTTTTACAATACGCGAGACGATGTACTTTTTCATTGTGGTCGCCCCAGAGTTGTCTTTACTGTGTTCAACCCAGTGTTTTATTTATTTTGCAGTTTGATTCTACCGCAAAGTAACATTTATCGATCAATAAAGAATGAAATGAATTCATTCACTGACATGAGTGCTACAAAAGCCATTCAGCCCGCTAACGTTACTCAGAACAAATAGTCATTTTCAAGCTTTTGTAAATGCAGTAGCTGGATTCTTTCAGTTTACACACGCTTTAAAACGAAAAGGTACTGCATTGCTATCTAGTGGCGCTTAAGGCAACTACAAGTGAAAGGAATCGATTCGAAAGGCGCAATATTTAAAATTCGAAAGAGTTGTAAGAGAAACCTCTAATCCAGCCAGTAATAATCTTTTCTTCAAATTATTTATGAAAACAACTCAAAATAATTTATTTTCGTGCCATGATAAATTTAATATTATTGACACAAACTCGAGTTACCACCACTCAAGGTGGCATTGCAAGTTGAGAGGGGTCATTTATGACTTTTTTACGAAAACCGTAAAATCTCTAAATGTTTAGTTTTTTACGACGAAAATGCCAACGAAGAATGACAAGTGAACCCCGGATGGTACACATAAATTAGAAGTGGATAAAATAAGTGCAATGATGCTTGAAGAGACTACTACGAGTGTAAAAAATTATAAGATAGTTTTTAGCAAAATTGAAATAACTTTTAAATGATAACCGTGTAGGAAGTGAGAGTATAAAATAAAAGTAATAATTGGTATAAACAATAATTTTCTGACATTCAATAAAAAGTCAGTGGAAATACAAAGAGGAGAGGACAAGTGAATAGCTCTCCATAATGAACGCAATAATC